AGAGCGCTTTGAGTACTCCAGGAGAGTAGAAAAGCACTATATAAGAACTCAATACTGTTCCCCCTCAGACTGCAACCAACTGCAAGGGGAAATATTAAACCTCATGAGAACATTAAAATGTAAATGCCTGACTGTGATTGTTCATTCTGTGTTTCAGGGCTCGAAGGAGGATGAGGATGACTTCCTATGTGGAGAGACGCCTCAAGCCGAGGGCATTGTGGGACTGACGCCCAACTCCTATGATTCAAATTTCCACAGTCCAAGCAGCTTAGGTTCACCACCCAACACCCTCCAGAGGCCGTTTTAGTTTCATTTGTATGGCATGTACTAGTAAGGGCTGTTGACTTCTTCAAGTTGTGAAGAAAGACAGCAGATCCTGTACCATATGATGCTTTTATAAGCTCCAACCACAGTCTGAAGAACACCAGCCCAGGACAACATGGTTGTGACGAAAGCCCTTTTTAGATCTGGGATAACATTATTTTATTAAAGTGACAGAATTCAGACATTGATCAGTTTTATGTTAATGTCCTTCACCACCCACAAATACTTATGGTAGTGACAGAGAGTGTGCATCAGTACTAAAATGTTCTCTCCAACCTTGTTAGTTTGTTTAGGTGTGTGTGTCTGTGTGCGCGTGCATGAGTGAGTGAATCTTTTCAATTTGAAAATGCATGACGCTGCAAGTTAAAGCAGACTCAGTAAGAAACCATCGTGTACGGGTTATTTACGTTTAGTCATTTTCAAGTAACCAATAAATGAACTGCGACTTATGCAGCACTTTTCTACTCTGTTTGAGCACTCAAAGCACTTTTGTTACTACAAGCCTTATTCACACAAACACTTTGTTATATTCCTGATCTCTTTTAACCTAAAATTCTCATACCGACAGTCCAATGCATGGATCGGGGAAACTCAGGATTCAGTATCTTGCCCAGTGTGAGTGAAGTTGGCCCCCCCACCTTCTTCAAATCCAACAGAAGTGGTATCAAAAGTTTGTGCTACATTTGTGGTGGCTTGT